GTGTTCACAGGTGAGGTGAGAGGCCAGGGATATTACTAGTCTAGAGGGGCGTTAAGATGATGACGGTCATTATTAACAACATGTATAGATTCTCATTATGGTTGTTAGTGTTGTGTTATGGTTGTTAGTGTTGTGTTATGGTTGTTAGTGTTGTGTTATGGTTGTTAGTGTTGTGTTATGGTTGTTAGTGTTGTGTTATGGTTGTCAGTGTTGTGTTATGGTTGTTAGTGTGTTGCTGATGGAGGTTTTCGTGATGGAAGGTAGGTTTGTCATGTGTTTTGGTTGGGTTGGGTTGGGTTTGGGATTGGGTTAAAGTGTAAGTTGGGTTAGTGTAGGTTAGGTTGGGTTAGGTTAGGTTAGTGTAGTGTGTTTTGAAGCTTATGTGATAAGGTCTTCCGTTTACTACTTGTAGTGATGACCTTCCAGTGAATCTCTCTCTCTCTCTCTCTCTCTCTCTCTCTCTCTCTCTCTCTCTATTAATAACTCGTCTACAGTATAACGTCACCTTGTATCCTGTACACCGTGTTAAAGGTAGTATTGAACGCCACACATAAGAACCCCGTGTTACTTGATGTTAACTCCGTGTTCCTTAGTGTTAACTCCGTGTTATGATGTTAACTCAGCGGTACTTGATGTTAACTCCGTGTTACTTAGTGGTACTCCTTGTTATGATGTTAACTCCGTGTTACTTGATGTTAACTCCGTGTTACTTGATGTTAACTCCGTGTTACTTGATGTTAACTCGTGTTACTTGATGTTAACTCACGTGTTACTTGGTGTTAACTCCTTGTTATGATGTTAACTCCGTGTTACTTGATGTTAACTCCGTGTTACTTGATGTTAACTCCGTGTTACTTGATGTTAACTCCGTGTTACTTGATGTTAACTCCGTGTTACTTGATGTTAACTCCGTGTTACTTGATGTTAACTCCGTGTTACTTGATGTTAACTCCGTGTTACTTGATGTTAACTCCGTGTTACTTGATGTTAACTCCGTGTTACTTGGTGTTAACCCCATGTTACTTGGTTTTAGCCAGCGTTACTTGGTGTTAATCCCCGGTAGTTGATGTTAACCCCGTTACTGGGTGTTAACTCCCGTGTTCCTTGGTGTTAACCCCATGTTACTTGGTTTTAGCCAGCGTTACTTGGTGTTAACCTGTGTTACTTGGTGTTAAACCCGTGTTACTTGATGTCATCCCCGTGTTACTCTATATGAACCCCGCGTTACTGGATGTTAACCCCGTGTTACCTGTCATTATCACCACCGTCACCTCTCACCCTCACCTCTCACGCCTTCACTTCACCTCTCACCTTCACCTCTCACCTCTCACCTTCACTCACCTTCACCTCACCTCACCTCTCACCCTCTCATCCCTAACCCCCACCTCTCACCTCACCTCTCACCCTCACCTGTCACCTCTCACTCACCCCTCACCTCACCTCTCACCCTCATCTCTCCTCTCACCTCACCTCCCTCACCTTCACCACCTCTCACCCCTCACCTCTCACCTTCACCCCTCACCTCTCACCTTCATCCTCACCTCACCCTCACTCATTCACCTTCACCTCCCCCTACCTCTCACCCCCTCACCTCTCACCCTCACCTTCACCTTCACTCACTTCACCCCTCACCTCTCACCAAGAGATGATAGCAACACAATTAGTCGCCCTAAATCAGCAAGGACTCGGAACACAACAATTATAGGTTCTCCCCTCCACCTGTTGGTCATTAGCTCGACCCAGAATGAATTAGTGGGGGTTGTTGAGCATAAGTGTAAGGAGGGTAAGGAGGTGTGGAGGGAGGGTAAGGGAGGTGAGGGAGGGTAAGGGAGGTGTGAGGGAGGGTAAGGGGGTGTGAGGGAGGGTAAGGAGGTGTGAGGGAGGGTAAGGGGTGTGAGGGAGGGTAAGGGGTGAGGGAGGGTAAGGGGGGGAAAGGGTAAAGGGGGGTGTGAGGGAGGGTAAGGGGGTGTGGAGGGAGGGTAAGGGGTGTGAGGGAGGGTAAGGGGGGGGAAAGGGTAAAGGGGTGTGTGGGAGGGTAAGGGGTGTGGAGGGAGGGTAAGGGGGAAAGGGTAAAGGGGGTGGAGGGAGGGTAAGGGGGTGTGAGGGAGGGTAAGGGGGTGGAGGGAGGGTAAGGGGGGAAAGGGTAAGGGGTGTGTGGGAGGGTAGGGGTGTGAGGGAGGGTAAGGGGGAAAGGGTAAAGGGGGTGTGAGGGAGGGTAAGGGGTGTGGAGGGAGGGTAAGGGGTGTGGAGGGAGGGTAAGGGGGGGAAAGGGTAAAGGGGTGTGTGGAGGGTAAGGGGGTGTGAGGGAGGGTAAGGGGGGGGAAAGGGTAAAGGGGTGTGGAGGGAGGGTAAGGGGTGTGAGGGAGGGTAAGGGGTGTGAGGAGGGTAAGGGGAGGTGTGAGGGAGGGTGGGGGGTGTGAGGAGGGTAAGGGGGGGGAGGAAAGGGGGTGTGTGGGAGGGTAAGGGGTGTGGAGGGAGGGTAAGGGGGGGAAAGGGTAAAGGGGGTGTGGAGGGAGGGTAAGGGGTGTGAGGGAGGGTAAGGGGAGGTGTGAGGGAGGGTAAGGGGGTGAGGGAGGGTAAGGGGGTGTGAGGGAGGGTAAGGGAGGTGTGAGTGAGAGGGTAATGAGAGGGAAGGTGTGAGTGAGAGGGTAATGAGAGGGAAGGTGTGAGAGAGGTAATGAGAGGAGGTGAGGAGACGGGAGGTGAGAGTGGCATGTGGTGTTTGTGTCAAGCTGTCCTCCCTGTCAGACTCAACCACACTTGAGAGAGAGAGAGAGAGAGAGAGAGAGAGAGAGAGAGAGAGAGAGAGAGAGAGAGAGAGAGAGAGAGAGAGAGAGAGAGAGAGAGAGAGAGAGAGAGAGAGAGTATTTACATTTTATTTGTGTGAGCCGGACTTAAAAGTGCTACTATTTCATGATTACATAAAGAAGATAATTACTACTTCTTTTTTTAACCATATTCTATAAAATGTGAATCACGTGAAGATTAACACGAGGTTATTTCACCTTATTATTAACTGAACCTAACCTAACCACACCTAACCTAACCACACCTAACCTAATCACACCTAACCTAACCACACCTAACCACACCTTACCTAACCACACCTAACCTAACCACACCTAACCTAACCACACCTAACCTAACCACACCTAACTTAACCACACCTAACCTAACCACTCCTAACCTAACCACACCTAACCTAACCACACCTAACCACACCTAACCTAACTGCCCAAGGGTGTTCAATCATTAGGTGAAATAAACTGGGTGGTGGAGGGGTGGTATTCTTCATGTGATGATAAAATAAGAAGTCGATTTTGTATGTGGATGTGTTCTATATGTGTTCCAATAAGAGGTTTTCTAAACGTGTGTTGTAATAAGTGTTCTCTATGTGTTGTAATAAGTGTTCTCCATGTGTTGTAATAAGTGTTCTCCATGTGTTGTAATAAGTGTTCTCTGTGTGTTGTAATAAGTGTTCTCTGTGTGTTGTAATAAGTGTTCTCCATGTGTTGTAATAAGTGTTCTCTGTGTGTTGTAATAAGTGTTCTCTATGTGTTGTAATAAGTGTTCTCTATGTGTTGTAATAAGTGTTCTCTGTGTGTTGTAATAAGTGTTCTCTATGTGTTGTAATAAGTGTTCTCTGTGTGTTGTAATAAGTGTTCTCTATGTGTTGTAATAAGTGTTCTCCATGTGTTGTAATAAGTGTTCTCCATGTGTTGTAATAAGTGTTCTCTGTGTGTTGTAATAAGTGTTCTCTATGTGTTGTAATAAGTGTTCTCTAAAGTATGTGTTGTAATAAGTGTTCTCTAAAGTATGTGTTCTCTCAGTATGTGTTGTAATAAGTGTTCTCTAAAGTATGTGTTCTCCAAGTATGTGTTCTCTCAGTATGTGTTGTAATAAGTGTTCTCTAAAGTATGTGTTCTCCAAGTATGTGTTCTCTCAGTATGTGTTGTAATAAGTGTTCTCTAAAGTATGTGTTCTCTCAGTATGTGTTGTAATAAGTGTTCTCTAAAGTATGTGTTCTCTCAGTATGTGTTGTAATAACTGTTCTCTCAGTATGTGTTCTCTCAGTATGTGTTGTAATAACTGTTCTCTCAGTATGTGTTGTAATAAGTGTTCTCTAAAGTATGTGTTCCCTCAGTATGTGTTGTAATAACTGCTTCAAAGTATGTGTTCTCTCGGTATGTGTTGTAATAAGTGTTCTCTCAGTATGTGTTCTCTCAGTATGTGTTGTAATAACTGTTCTCTTCTCGGTATGTGTTGTAATAACTGTTCTCTAAAGTATGTGTTCTCTCAGTATGTGTTGTAATAAGTGTTCTCTAAAGTATGTGTCTCCGGTATGTGTTGTAATAAGTGTTCTCTCAGTATGTGTTCTCTCAGTATGTGTTGTAATAACTGTTCTCGGTATGTGTTGTAATAACAAGTTCCTCAAAGTATGTGTTCCCTCTCAGTATGTGTTGTACAAGTGTCTTCAAAGTGTTCCTCTCAGTATGTGTTGTGTAATAAGTGTTCTCTCAGTATGTGTTGTAATAACTGTTCTCTCTCGGTATGTGCTGCAATAACTGTTCTAAAGTATGTGTTCTCTCAGTATGTGTTGTAATAAGTGTTCTCTAAAGTATGTGTTCTCTCAGTATGTGTTGTAATAAGTGTTCTCTCTCAGTATGTGTTCTGTAAGTATGTGTTGTAATAAGTGTTCTTTAAGTATGTGTTGTAATAAGTGTTCTCTAAAGTATGTGTTCTCCAAGTATGTGTTCTCTCAGTATGTGTTGTAATAAGTGTTCTCCAAGTATGTGTTCTCTCAGTATGTGTTGTAATAAGTGTTCTCCAAGTATGTGTTCTCTCAGTATGTGTTGTAATAAGTGTTCTCCAAGTATGTGTTCTCTCAGTATGTGTTGTAATAAGTGTTCTCTAAAGTATGTGTTCTCTCAGTATGTGTTCTCTCAGTATGTGTTCTCTCAGTATGTGTTGTAATAACTGTTCTCTCTCTCTCTCCACAGGTCTACGGATACGGATATTCAACTTCTTGATCAAGTTGCTCACTTGTGTCCTGTACATCGTCCGAGTGTTTATTGACGATAATCCAATCCAAGCTAACTGGTGAGTCTCTCTCTCTCTCTATCTCTCTCTCTCTCTCTCTCTCTCTCTCTCTCCACATACACACTGTACCATTATTTAAGTGTGTGTGTGTGTGTGTGTGTATTTTCCTTCTCATTCCTCCGTCTGTATATGAGTATAATGTATAATACTGTATAACTAGCAGTCCACATCTTCCTTCTCGACACACACACACACACACACACACACACACTCTGTGATCCACCCTGCCAACTTGTTTCCAAAAATACGATTACGTTTTATAGTTAGTAAAGTTAATATGAACCCATTGGCAACTTGTGTTAATACCCCCCGTGATGCCTCGGCTTAACTAGTGGTAAAAATAGTAATAATAAAATAAAAACTCGTATCTTATCTTGATACTTAAAGTTCAACAATCCATTTTTTTTTGTCATAACTTTTGAATTTTCCAACGAAGGGAATTTAATAGTTTCCCCCAGTTTGACTTCCAGAGTGAGAATATATATATGTATTTTATTTATGTTCCAACGTTTTAATTATATATATGTAGATGTATATGTGGTATTTTTTATATGTGGACTGTGTTGGTAGATAGTGGGGCAGTTATTGATGGTAGTAGTTCTCTTTTTGGTTCATAGATGATAATGATTAGATAGATTCTACTGTATAAGATTGGATTACACTCACACCAGCCAGCCCTCTACCCACACACTCTAGCTCTTAACCCACACACTCCAGCTCTTAACCAATACACACACTAGCTCTTAACCCACACACTCTAGCTCTTAACCAACACACACAATAGCTCTTAACCCACACAGCGGCCCTCAACCCACACAGCAGTCCTCAACACACACACTCTAGCTCTTAACCAACACACTCTAGCTCTTAACCAACACACTCTAGCTCTTAACCCACATACTCTAGCTCTTATCCCACATACTCCAGCTCTTAACCCACACAGCTACATCAGCCCCCAACCCACACACAGCAAAACTCTCAACACACACACACACACACACATTAGGAGAAAACTCCAAGGTAGTCACGTAATATGACCTCTTAACGTGACCTGCATCTAGTACAGCGTCTTCCCTGTTGTTGTGAAAAGTTGGTGTACAGTTACTTAACCTCTTGGGTGTGAGTACTTAACCTCTTGGGTGTGAGTACTTAACCTCTTGAGTGTGAGTACTTAACCTCTTGGGTGTGAGTACTTAACCTCTTGAGTGTAAGTACTTAACCTCTTGAGTGTGAGTACTTAACCTCTTGAGTGTGAGTACTTAACCTCTTGAGTGTGAGTACTTAACCTCTTGAGTGTGAGTACTTAACCTCTTGGGTGTGAGTACTTAACCTCTTGAGTGTGAGTACTTAACATCTTGGGTGTGAGTACTTAACCTCTTGAGTGTGAGTACTTAACCTCTTGAGTGTGAGTACTTAACCTCTTGAGTGTGAGTACTTAACCTCTTGAGTATGAGTACTTAACCTCTTGAGTATGAGTACATAATCTTTTGAGTGTGAGAGCAGTTGAGTGTGAGGGCAGTTGGCATCATACTAACGGGGTCAAGAAGACTATAGAGGAGTTTGTTGATAAGTTAGATGAGCTTCAATTGTCCTCCTGATCCCAGATGGTCAAAGTTTGTGTGTGTGTGACCCTTTAGGCTTGAGAGATAAGGCGGCGTAGGGCTGTGTCCGGGCGAAGGTGATCCTACTGACGCTACTACTGAGGGAGGATATCGTCGTGTTTAGACCACTGAGGGAGGTGAGGTAGCCGGTGTCTACCTTACCTCACATCTTGTTCGTTATTCATTAGTTTGTTATAAGTTTTGCGTTAATTATCTCTACAACACGCCAGAATATCGTGGACGAGTTTGACTATTGAACCCGTGGTGGTACTTTATTAGTTCTAAAGCGTTTATTTTTAAGCTATAATATTGAAATCCTTTATGTAGTGTACTGCATTTTGGGTTTTGGAATCGACGTCATTCACCGATAGTTCAGTGTTGGTACTGCTTCCAGCGGGTCTCAGACTCCCTAACAATCACGTGTGTCAGGGTGGATTACTTCCCTCTTTGTGTTGACCATCGACGGTTGTCTAGGACCACTGCCTCTAGGTCTTGGATACCGAACCCGTGTAGAGGTGAGTAATCTCCGTCTCACTCTGACTCCAGTTTACCCGTTGAAGCTTCTGGCAGTCACCCTTTCCTGCACTTCTGTCGACACTTCATTGAGACAAAATCTGATTATCAGGAAGAGGTGCTGCGTCTGATACCTTTAGGGCATCCTACCATGCAGACTCGTGTCTTGTTTTTCTCGCCCTTTTCCTAAGCGGCGTCTTGCATACTCCTTCGAGTTTACTCCTGAGTTCCTCAACGATCCTCTTGACTTTGAAGGTGATTCACATCCTTAAGAACAGGAATTTATCATTTTTAGTGACTCGAGGAGCGCCTTCAAGCTCTCGGGTCTTTTAACCCACTCCACCCTCTGTCTCCTCAGTAAGAAGAGATGCAGGTGGTCAGGGCTACAGCATCTAGTCTGCCCTTCAACCATTCTCCTTCGTGATATACGTCCCAGGATTAAGACTGTTATGTGTTATGCCTGGCACCGTTGCTGCAATGCCACTGAAGGCGCAAACAAGCTCCGAGAGATTACAATGGAGACGCTTCAGGACGTATCCCCGAACCCTTACGAGATGGGAAACGGCCTTGACCAGGCTCCGCATTGACCACTCTAGGCTGACCCACGGTAACGTGATAGCCTGGGAGCCCCAACCAGTAAGTGGTGACTGCCTGGTCTTCTTATCTACAAAGCACTTGCTGATCGAGTGTTCCAGTCAGGGTGACCTTAGGAGGCGGCATCTCCCCGGGACTGCGGGGTGTGTCTACGCGTCTTCCTTCTGGCAGCAGATATTCTCTCCCTTAGGATGAAAAGTATTAAGTTTATTGATGTGGCTAAACCTGTGTTTGTATCTTGTAGTTCTTAATACTGATCTTTCATTACTGCTTAATTTTCATCTGAAGATAGTTAGCTTTTTGACCTGTACGACTGTGACCCTCCCGTATACTGACCAGGACTCCTTGATGCACGTCACGCCCATGATTGGACGTTTTTGGGTCTTTTTTTTATCTAAACTGACAAGATCTTTATTCATGTCTTCATCCTTATGGAGAAAAACGGTTGTGACGCTGTTAACCTCGGTAGTGTCTCAGTGTACCGTCAGTGGTGCCCCCAGTGTACTTCGTCAGTGGTGCCTCAGTCTACCGTCAGTGGTGCCTCAGTGTACCGTCAGTGGTGCCCCTCAGTGTAACGTCAGGTGCCTCAGTGTACCGTCAGTGGTGCCTCAGTGTACCGTCAGTGGTGCCCCTGCGTACCGCTCGCGGTGCCCTTCAGTGTACCGTCAGTGGTGCCTCAGTGTACCGTCAGTGGTGTCTCAGTCTACCGTCAGTGGTGTCTCAGTGTACCGTCAGTGGTCCCTCAGTCTACCGTCAGTGGTGCCTCAGTGTACCGTCAGTGGTGCCTCAGTGTACCGTCAGTGGTGTCTCAGTCTACCGTCAGTGGTGCCTCAGTGTACCGTCAGTGGTCCCTCAGTCTACCGTCAGTGGTGCCTCAGTGTACCGTCAGTGGTGCCTCAGTGTACCGTCAGTGGTGTCTCAGTGTACCGTCAGTGGTGCCTCAGTCTACCGTCAGTGGTGTCTCGGTACGTGGGTCTTGTCATCAAGTCTCCGGCATCTTTAAGTTATTCAATTTCGCCGCCGTTATCGAGGACAACTTTTTAGAAGAACTGGAATGTAATAAGCCGTGAGGTGGAGAGCGTCCAGCCCCTCTATTAGGCTGTCTGAGCCTCGGGGGTCTTCCTAAGCTTCTCGGGGCCACGACTTAAACCTCGGGGCTTCTCTTTAAGCTTTTCGGGGCCACGACTGACACTTACAAGCCACGATTGACACTTCTAGGTCACGACTGACACTTCTAGACCACGACTGACACTTCGAGGGCTCCGTAAGCTTCTCTAGTCCAAAATGAAGCCTCAGGAATCCCGCCCGTCACCTTGGAGTTAGACAGTCTATCGCTGTCATCACGTGAGAGCTACTGTCCTCATCCTACTTAACCTTCAATTAAAAAAAAGATGGGGTTTAATTTTCAGGTGATCCGAACTCTCCAACTAGGAACAAAATTAGTGTTTTATATTTGGTTCTCAGGACAGAATATATTGTACACTACTATTAATTATTATGTATATTACTTTATTAGAGATCCAAGTTACTATATACTGTCAAAATTAAAAATAAATAAATATATAAATAAAAATTGCTATCAATACGCTTGTCTGTAATTGTTTTCCTTTAAAAATTTAGCCCCCAAAAATAACTCCGATTATTTAATTTTTTTTCTTTTATATAAACAACATATTGGAAAATTATAAGACAAGGTAAAACAGTTTAGAAGTAAAATTGAATAATAATTGGCCATTGAGGGAAACATGAGAGGTACAAACCAGGAACTAGGGAGAAATAGTGACTCGGTATGTCGGTCCACTAGTTACACAGAAAATGCGTTCAGAGTTGATTAACGCGGGAGGAAAAGTCAAATGAGCTCCCACGTTCTGTAAACACTGTTGAATGACTTTACTGTACACTACAACCTCGCAAGCACACGATGGGAGTTGACTGCTTGTACCCTGAATAATGGTAAGTGTAGTGATCACCTGAAGATTAATGCCCCCCCCCCCCTCTCCTACAGCTTATTTCACCCTAACGCGAGATGTGATTAGAAAAAACCGCAGGTTGGGTGTTGGAGCAATAGTTGAGAAAGTTAATTTAGACAGGGAAAGTGTTCGACGCATTCTAACGGAAGAATTGAACATGACAAAGGTTTGAGCAAAAATGGTTTAAAAAATGCTGTCAGATGAACAACTCGCCAGCCCACAACGCTTTGTCTGTGAAGCAGTTTTTAGCCAATAAAAATATCACTGTGCTTGCTCAAGCACCCACCCTATTCGCCAGACCTGGCTCCCTGCGACTTCTACCTCTTCCTAAATATCAAGTCCGTGCTCAAAGGAACCAAATTTTTTTCGGAAGAAGAGGTGAAAGCAAAAACGACAGAGCTCCTCAACAGCTTTACAGAACATGATCTGCGGAATTGCTTTGAACTGTGGTAGCATCGTATGCGGCTGTGTGTCAACTCAGAAGGGAACTACTTTGAAGGCGATCACAGTTGATTTTCTTAATTTGGTAAATAAAGAGAGTTAAGCATTAGTCTCGTTTTCCTTGGTGTCGGACTCAAGGTCCAGGGGGGCCACTCTATCTGTGTTGAGTTATATCAATGAATATATGAATACGATTTGGCTTTATAATGGATGAGGAAATTCGATCACTTCAGGTTACACACACACACACACACACACAGTTACACTTATCTCTCAATTGTATCTTGTTACTCACTTGCCACACATGTCTCCATTATTACTTATTACTGTCTCACTTGTCACTCATGTCTTACAATGTCTCTCACTTGTCACTCATGTCTTACAATGTCTCTCACTTGTCTCTCACTTGTCACTCATGTCTTACAATGTCTCTCACTTGTCTCGAGTCTCTCCCAGTGGCTAAGACCTGCTGGACAGCCTCCTCAGCTGGACGAGCATTAAACAACCATAATGACATTACCCTGGAGAAATGTCTTATCTCTCTCTCTCTCTCTCTCTCTCTCTCTCTCGAGGCAACACGAGCATTACGGGGTTCAGGTCTCGAGGGTTTGTTACGACTCTGGTAATACTGGCGACACACCTTACCACTCACTCGTCTTTCACTGCATAATGGGTGTGTTGACGCTGCAGTGTTGTAGATCAGGGTCGCCGGAGTGCTCATATTGAGAGGCATTATCTTGTGTATTGATTTTTTGCTTAATACTGAGACTAGTTCTAATGGGGTGTGTGTGTGTGTGTGTGTGTGTGTGTGTGTGTGTGTGTGTGTGTGATAATAATAATAATAATAATAATTAATAATTAACGGTTTATTGAAAAAATTCTGCAGCCCGAAGGCTGAAAATATACATTGGACATAAGTGACTTATTACATACATTGGTGGTTTAACAAAAGCCTTCATTAGAGAAAGGTAAAGGAACATACAGTGAACATACAGATTAATGTAGGTGTTGAACAGCAAACTCGTAGTGTAGTAACTCCCTCCCAGATGGTGTTAGGAGGAACTCACGTTGTGTAGTAGTTCCCTCAGATGGTGTTATGAGGGACCTGGCGTGGTGTAGTAATTCCCTCGCAGATGGTGTTATGAGGGACCTGGCGTGGTGTAGTAATTCCCTCGCAGATGGTGTTATGAGGGACCTCACGTGGTGTAGTAATTACCTCACAGATGGTGTTATGAGGGACCTCACGTGGTGTAGTAATTCCTCACAGATGGTGTGATGAGGACTTGACGTGGTGTACGTGGTGTAGTGAGGACTTGACCCCTCACATATGGTGTTATGAGGGCCTCACGTGGTGTAGTAATTCCCTCACAGATGGGTGTTATGAGGGGCCTCACGCAGATGGTGTTATGTCACGTGGTGTAAATTCCCTCCAGATGGTGTTATGAGGGGCCTCACGTGGTGTAGTAATTCCCTCACAGATGGTGTTATGAGGGGCATCACGTGGTGTAGTAATTCCCTCACAGATGGTGTTATGAGGGACTTGACGTGGTGTAGTAATTCCCTCACAGATGTGTGTGATGAGGGACTTGACGTGGTGTAGTAATTCCCTCACAGACGGTGTTATACGAGTGAGGTTTGGTCTTAGGCCTTCCTATCGTAGACGGATTAACACATCGCTGGTTGTTGTTGGGTCTCACGGGCCTTTACCACTGGGTACCTGGGACCTCACTGTGTGAAGGTTAACTTGGGTACGACTGTTACTGTTGAGTTGTTCTCACTGACTTAAGCACTGTTCACCTCTGTTTAACACTGGTTCCGTTCCCTTCCTAAATCAAATTGTAACTTCTGGCGAGAACTTGTTGATATTCCGGTGGGGAGGAGGGTTCAGAGGAGGGGGTTGGTATGGGCCAACTTAACAGTTGACCTGGCTGCTCCGAGAGGAGCGCCAGGTACGTCTTGACCCTTCGGTGGTCAAGGATGTTGTGTGTGTGTGTGTGTGTGTAAATTATCTAATCTCTCTCTCTCTCTCTCTCTCTCTCTCTCTCTCTCTCTCTCTCTTGCATCGCTCATGTCACTGCTCCTCATAAGGGATAGAACAGGTCCACTTTAATGCCTTTATTGTGGTTCATTTGTTTCACCGCGCCATTGACCAATCGTATCCTGTCCACCGAACCATTATATACAGTGGACTGGTTATAAACGTCTAGTGCCCGAAGTATTGGAGTCTTATGTTATGGCCTGTCCTAACCTGACTTGACCTAACCTAACTCTAACCTGACCTGACCTGACCTGACCTGACTTGACCTTACCTTACCTTACCTTACCTTACCTTACCTAACTCTAACCTGACCAAACTTGACCTAACCTTACCTTACCTTGTGTTTTTAGTTAATTAGGCCACCTATATAATAATACTTATATACGTATATTGTTATAAGTTAGGGAAATTTATACCTTACACGTATATTATTTTTATTATGGTTTAGGAGAAATATTATATTGGTATGAGATTTGAGTGGATGATTTCAGATGATCCTATATCACAGCATCCCCCCTCTCTCTCTCTCTCTCTCTCTCTCTCTCTCAGGTAACCCGTAGACTAATGGATTGACTTATTTATGGAGCATCGTCCCAGAGAGAGAGAGAGGTACCGTACCCCGTCACCTTTAGCCAGTGTAAACCAACTCTGACAGAACCGTCTCCGCTTCCCGCCTACCCTACACCCACTGTACACGAATTGTCTTGACATTTAGGAGCCGTTCAACTAAAGTAATGAAATATAGTCAACTATTATCATATTAGTACTTTCTTGGTACTAACAGTCAATATATAGTAGGAAATATACATGTTAAGATAAGCAGATTGGTAGTATATTTGTTTGTTTAGGAACTAGTATGAGAAACATAGTTATCGTTTTTTTTTAAGTATATCGTTAATTATTTACCGTTTTCTCTCATGTTTTTAAGGTAAACTCAGCAATTCTTGTTTATTTTAATGTTTTGATTTTGTGTTTGTTTACAGGGTCACTTTTGTATATATTAGGATGAAGGTCTATGAAATATACTAAGAGATAAATTAAATATAAAATTATAAGCGGTGGAGAGGAATGGAGCGTATTTCTAAAAGTAAATGCGGCCATCTTGAATTTTTAGGTTGTTAGAATTACGTTAAAGATCAATAAACATCTGTATACACCACTTTTACTGATTGGTTTTTGTTATATATTTTTCATGGTAAGACTGACAATTTTCTTCTATGTAAACAAGTATATAGATACACATTTTTTCACCCCCTTTTTATCAGGTAACTTTATGACGGCAAAAAAAAAAATTTCTGGGAATTTTGACAGTTGTTCACAAAACTTTGAAACTGAACCAATATTTTCGAATTGGCACTCTCAACTCTGTGCACTTGTTTTAGATTGGCACTAACCTGAAGGCAAGTTAGTGTAAATGTCAGGGTCACCCACGTTGGGGGAGGGAGAGTGGGAGCTGGGGACCTGTGTGTGTGTTTTGGTTGGACATTGGTGATATTTAGGGGTCAAGTTGGTGGTAGAGGGATGATGGTAGTGGTTGGTGGTTTTGATAGTGGTGGTAGAGGGTCGTGGTGGTAGTGGTATACAGATCAGCGGGTATATAGACAATGCAGATATTGTATAATGTGCATAAAAAAGTACAGGAATACAGACAATGGTAAACAGTAAGGCAATTCGACCAACAAAACTAATTAGGTGGTTATTTATTTACCACGTATGAACTTAAATGACCATAGTATACAACGGCACAGTGACGCATCAGGCAGCCTCAAGGTATAGATTCATCACGTGTTCCATGACAAACTTGACCAGATCCCGGAATAGAACACATGTCTCCTAACATAAATGGCTTCACCCATGGTAAAGGTGTACATAATTGCATCACCACATTCTAACTGTATTTGATATTGCCAATAGACAACTGATATTGTACTATCTAGCCAAAATGGATGTAGGAGGTAGGCTGTTACACTGGATAAGTGGTTACCTAACCAACAGAAGGGCTGCTGCACTGTTTCAGGGTTACAAAAGTGAAGTTAAAGATATGCAACTTGGTATCCCTCAAGGTGGAGTACTTAGCCCCACTTTGTTCAATGTTCTTATGAATACATTATTAAATTTAATACCAGACAACCCCAGCAATATCTCAATCAGCTATGCTGATGATATTATTATACATGCTAAAACTCATCGCGAAATGCAAACCACCCTGAACCATGTATACAGGAAAGGCGTTGACAAGCTCGAGAAAATGCAAAATAAAGCCCTCAGAATTATCCTAGGATGTCCCATGAGCACTAAAGTACTTAATATGAGAAAGGAGTTAGAATTAACAACTGGGCATCCACTCTACAAATATGCGTGCCTTGTTGACCGGGGTGTCAAGGTCAAACAGAGACACCGTTGAGTACAATTTGTCAAAAAGATCACTAGATTACCATAATATCCTGACAACGGGGGTTAATTATGAGTGTGGGATGAGTGTGGGGTGCGCAATAAAGTAGCCGCTGTAAGCGGCAAAATCAAAATCAATCTCCAGACCTGACCCACAGCTCTCCCACACAGCTATGACTGCGAGGAGGACACTCAGGCCGTCACGTTCTTCCGGGAGTATGGCAACAAGACGGACGAGCAGTTTCAGGAGAACCCCATCATCAACTGGCAGGCGGTGCTCTGGGTCAATAGGACTTTACCTCTGTGGGCAATACAGGTCGCCGTCGCTCTCGTCTCGCTGTCGGAGGCGTTACTACTAGCTTACTTAAGTTATAAGGTGGGTCTCTCTCTCTCTCTCATGTTCTTGTTATTGATGCAACACCATGTTCTAGTTATTTATGAATCCCCATATTTTTTGTTATTAATGGAGTGTTCTCTTCCTCTCAGGGAAATATATGGCAGACGTTAAGATCGTTTCACTTTCTACTAGAGTTAATCAACACCATACCATTTATACTGACGGTGAGTACACTTAGCTTGTGTTGTGTTGTGGATGTGTTTTGTACAGAGAGGCCCCGGGCATTGTTTCCTTAAAATTACTAGAATGTATGAACCATGGGATGTCCTACACTACCTTACCGTACACCACCCCACCCTTCCCAACACTACCCTGCACCACCGTACCCCATACTACACCACCCACTACACACACACTTCCCAATCGGTGGGTCCTGATACCTTCTGTCGGCGCCTGACGGATTGTACCATTCTCCACTTCCTGGGAAGGATGTGGGTTCACTCTCCTCATCCCCCACACTACACCACCCTACCCCACACTACACCACCCTACCCCACACTACACCACCCACTACACCACCCACTACACCACCCTACCCCACACTACACCACCCTACCCCACCTTTACCCCACCCTACACCACCCCTACCCCACACCACTACACCCACACACCCACACTTTCACACCACCTAGCCACTACACCACCTACCCACTACACCACTTTCTTGCCTTCCACCCTGCCCACACTGCACTCTGCCCTACCCCACACTGCCCTGCCCACACTGCACCACACTCTGCCCTACCCACACTACACCACCCAATGCCCACCCCTACCCCACACACACCTCCCCACACACTCACCACCCTACACCACCCCTGCCACACACTACACCACCCTACCCCACCATTCTGTCACCACCCTACCCCACACTACACCACCCTGCAACCTTGCTACCCACCCTACCCACCCCTACCCCACTTTCACTGCCCCCCCTACCCCCCTTTCACCACTTCTTGACACTGCCACCCTACACCACCACCACTGCACCACCCACACACACTGCACCACCCTGCCCCACTGCACCCACTACACCACCCACTGCACCAATACCAACACTGCCACTACCCCACTACACCACCCTACACCCTACCCACACCACCCTACACACACCACCCTACCCCACACTGCACCACCCTACCCCACACACCACTCATTTCTGCTCCCACCACTGCCCAGCACTTCCACCCTACCCACTGCACCACCCCTGCCCCACACACCACCCTACCCCACACTACACCACCCTGCCCACTGCACCACCCTACCCCTGCACCACCCCACTACACCCTACACCACCCTACACCCACCCTACCCACTACACCACCCTACCCCACACTACACCACCCTACACCACCCTACCCCACACTACACCACCCTACCCAACACTACACCACCCTACCCAACACTACACCACCCACTACACCACTCACTACCCACACACACCCACCCAAGTGTTTTGTTGAAGTGATCAACTGGCTCGGCTGTGCCTCGATCTGGTACTTAGTTCGTCATGTCACCGCCAGGGGGTCTACTGTCGGCTTTTTGGACGGTCTATTTATGTTACATTAGCTGTTTTTCCTGTTTTTCTTTAATAATTCATATATTTACGCAGTCAACCTCCAAAAGTAGACGTTTATTAACATAGAGACATAATGGGGCACTACGGACAACATTCAAGCTATAGACATTAACTCCAGCTATGTGGGCGTGTATGACTTGTCTTCTTGTGTACATGACTGTTGTGTGTGTGTGTGTATGACTATCTTGTTGTGTACATGACTGCCATGTGTGTGCGTGTATGACTATCTTGTTGTGTACATTAGTTAGCTCTGACTTATCCTGCGAGACCTGGATGTAAATATATTGCCCATTATCCACCAACGAGGTTTTGGGGGCTCACTACCTACCATGGCAAGAGGAACAACAGTAGGGCCGGAGGTATTCTTAAACACGTAAGATATTTCCTTTATACCCGTACCGTGAGTCAGTAGCTACTTAAGGTACCGTCACCCATGATGAGTTAAGTTGAGGGATGCGGTGTGGTGGGATCGTCCCTCCCTCAGCCAAGGAACTTTTTTTTTGGCGTGTTTTTTTTTTGGTGTTTGTTTGAGCGCCTGTGAACGTAGAGATGGACAAACAAACAAATTACCATAAAAATATAGTCGAGTAAATGACACACAAAGGAGTGAGATAGAGGAGAACACAAGTTAGTGAACCTTACCTCGGCCAACACTCCAAAAACCCTGAATTTAATTTCTCTATCCAGGCGAATTTATCAAAATGTACCCAGCGCTTCAAAAGACATACGGGGGTGAAAATTAATGGCCACTTAAGGTACCAGTCCAGCTTGTTTCCGGGGTCCTAATTGGAGGTGTCAACAACTGCAAGAAGGTTGTTAGAGGAGATGGGGGCGAGATAAAGGGGAAATTCACCTCCTTCATTAGAGAGTTATTAGTAGGGTGTAATGGTTTGTCCACTCTTCACCACCTCCATCTTCAACACCGTGAGGGATAAACAAACCCAACATTGACAACTTAAACGAGGCTCTCAAAGCAAACACACCACATAACAAGCACTCGACATACAAGCGTCCACTGAACCAAATATTCAGAGCGACCGCAGCGACGACACACACGGCCATATTATTAAACAACATCTACCCCTTCCAACGAAGAATCTTTTCGAAGGTATTGTTCCATCAAGCGGTATTTTTAAATGCTCGAACCTCTTCCACTTGGTGCGGGATGATTTTTTTAGGTCTGGTAATACTGTCTCCTTCGCTGATGCATTATGGTCGTCTTTTCGCTGATGCATTATGGGTCCTGTGTGTGTTTGTTTACCTTCGTTGGCGCCAAATTTAGTATTGTAGCAGCTCTCGTCAGGGATATTTTTTCCTCCAAAGTTTCCCGGGATTTCTTAGTTTATTTGATTGGAGAGGAGAAAATTTTGCAAAATAAAAGTACTTGTGGGAAGCTTGTTACATTCAAGAAACAAGCATGGTTACGAATTGCAACATGTTTAAATGCTGAGGGATATGGACCAGTATAATGAGACAAAACTCACCAGAAGAGGATATTGCGTATAGGTAGAATATTTATAGTAGGAGGATGTAAAGACAGGAAGTTGGGTAGCGTGGCCGTGATGTTATTTACTCAGCGTCAATACTCTTATCTTATCTCGTATGTCAATACACATATATTACTTTCTTAATGAGACAACTTGTTAAACACCTCTTCGTTACAACTATTTATTAATTCACTCAGTGACATGGACACGTTATATCATTATTATATCGGGGTACTACACATTATGTTCACTGCTATTAAATCTTGATATTCCAAACTTTCTGCTAGTTCCTTTTCGGTGGAGAGCATAGCCAATGCATCCAATCTCTCTTGAGACATAGTTGTTCTTAGATATTTTTTTATTAATTTCATCTTGGAAAAACTCCGCTCCCCTGATGCCACTGTGACTGGAACTGTCAATAAAATCCGATATGCTATTTCTGCCTTAGGGAAGGAACCATTTTAGAGACTTGAGAATCTGAAGGACTTGAAGTGCACTGTTTGTTTCTTGAGGAATAAGTTCTTGGAGTACTCGAAGCCAACACACCAGCCCAACCCGACACGCTAATCCATCCGCCGGTGTGTTGAGTTGGGCTGGTGTTTTTGAGTTGAGCCGATGTGTTGAGTTGCCATTTCTCAGTTTCTCAGCTTAAGGCCGACAATAAACTTTGTCTCTGACCGACATTGGACAGATATATATAGTCATTGAGGAAGTTAACCTGCAGTAGGACACAGTCGGGACGTGCTCCAGGGGTCACAGAGCACCAACGAGTACCAGGAACAGAGCCTCTGTCTGTCATAACCACCCCCCCCCCCTCTTCTCGCAGGACCAGCTTACCAGCCATGGGTATGCAAAGTCTGGTCTTGCTGTGCCTGGAATCCCCCCCCCCCTTCTCATGTAACGTTCACAGTGCATCCAAAACAGCATACAAACTCACCTCACTGGAGGCGAGAGCGTGGTTTTAAAGTTACGTTACCCAAGTGTGAGAGACGGCGACGGTGCGTGGTTTTAAAGATAGTGTGGGAGAGTAAGCATGCCCTCTCCTCAGTCGGTTAAAGCTCCGTTCGCTGAGTAGGGCCAAGGTCGTTGCTACTTGGAGTGAAGGACCAACACTTCTTTACGGCCGTCATATTAATGTAAAACAACAGCAAACTGACCCCCCTGTCACAGACATACGTAAGGGAAGTTGTTATCTAGTTCCCGAGGCAACGTGCACTAAAGCCTTGGTCACACGAGCGCTTTTATGGATAATTTCTTGCCCCCATTAGTCCCTGTTCACCTAGCAGTAAAGTAGGTACCTGTTGTAAGTCGAAAGTTGCGAATTCGTATTCAGGGACAAGTTGTTGGAGCTTCCAATAACTTGATGACATAAACCATTGACTCTTCAGACTTCTATGCCCTTGACTCTTCAGGCTTCACCTTACACAAGGATGTAGGGGAGTGCCCAATAAATAAAAAAAAAAAAAAGTCCACACACACAGGTCTCCACTTAGAGTCCACAGTCGTTTTTCTTCAACTTCTCTCGTTTCTTTTTAATAACAAGAATACCAGTTATAGTTGCTGCGTCGTCTGCAGTGGTGTTGTGTCCCATCTACCCGCAAGGCGGCGTTCACTTGACTTGATTTTGTTTCATTCTTTCTGTAGAAACTGGCACAAGAGCTACCCGTATGACCACATTTGGAAGAAATTGCTCGTAATTTCTTGCTCCAAAATCCTTGCTTCAAATTAATTGCTCATAAAAACGCTCGTGTGACCGCGACTGCCAGTGCGGGGTCACAGTCTCCACAAAACTGCTTCTAAGACTGGGTAGGAGGCGGCGCCTTAGTCTGGTGGTGTCCAGAAATTGTAACATGTCTAGTGTAAACAATGATCCCCACACACTGTCAACCAGTGTGCGTGTTGCACAAGCTAGTTACATATACTGTATATTCCTCTGGACTCTGTAATCGGGTAATTGTTTCGGTTAAAGACTAATGTTGGTTCAGTAGGTCACTGGTATTGGCCGCCTGTCAGCACTCTGCCGCCCTCACGCTTCACCAACACCTCCCGTCCCCACACCTGTTGCCTGTATTGTTCAGCAGGGTGTAAGATGCGCCACCACAGGTCGTGTCAATACTGAATTTTGAAGGTCCCATCTGTGTATGTCAGTATTTTACTTTGTTATACGAAACTACTGTTAGCGTTTGTGTGTAAAGAAAAAAGGAAAGAGGAGAAGAAAGGATTGGTGCTGAAGGCCATTCTTTTGTTGTCTTGTCCACTATAGAACAATGGTGTGAAAGTTCAGCCCACGCTAGAGCACAGTCACACAACCAAAGCAAAAACAAATTCGCTGCGAATAGAATTTTACCGAAATCCGTATACGAAAATAAAACTCCTTTTTGGTGGCTGTGATAATAATAATAATAATAATAATAATAATAATAACAATAACAATAATAACTGTGATAACTGTGATAATGGACTTGTCAGGATTATCACACTCCTCCACACATCGCTCAGCCACCCGTCAACAGTTCAGAGAGTCTCCCGTATTTAGAGCTTCTGGGACACGAATGTTGATGTGCAAATACCTGAGAGAGAGAGAGACTTGTTCAATAGTGTAGATGTTGCGGGGGAATGTTTGTTTTTATTGTGTGTGTGTGTGTGTGTGTGTGTGTGTGTGTGTGTGTGTGTGTCGAGAACTGAATGACAAGTTTCCCATCAGCCTCTTACGTGTTCTCATAATTAGATCAAAGTCACAGAATTATTTATTTTCTCTATTATCACAGAAGAATTTTTTTTTTCTTTTAATATGACAGAAGAATTACTATTTTAACTTGTATTTCGTGTAATTTTTTCCCATATCACAAAAAATACAATTAATTTACTCTTTATTCCAACCCACCCACCCAACCCACCCAACCACCCCCACCCACCCCCCCAGCCAACCCACTCCACCCCAGCCACTCCACCCACCCACCCCACCTGGGTCCCACCCCAACCCCACCCCACCCAACCCAACAACCCACCCACCCCACCCAACCCAACCCAACCCACCCACCCCACCCCACCCACCCACCCACCCACCCACCCAACCCACTCACTCACTCACTCAACTCACTTTTTCTATCACACAGATATGTTGGTCACCGCTCAGAAATCTCTTCGTGCCAGTATTTCTCAACTGCTGGCTCGCCAAACATGCACTCGAGAATATGTTCGTAAGTACTCTCTCTCTCAAGCTTGTTCTTGTGTGTGTTTGTTTGTCTACTTGTTTTATTTGTTTGTCGTTATTTATAAACTAGATGTGGAGTTTTTGTGTTATGTGGTGGCGAATTTGTGAGAGCCGTTAGTGGCGACTTTTGTAACCCATTAATGGTGACTTTTGTGGCCCATTAATGGTTACTGTGGCCCATTAATGGCGACTGTGGCCCATTAATGGCGACTTTTGTAACCCATTAATGGTGACTTTTGTGACCCATTAATGGCGACTTTTGTAACCCATTAATGGTGACTTTTGTGGCCCATTACTGGTTACTGTGGCCCATTAATGGCGACTGTGGCCCATTAATGGCAGTACAGGTGAATAAACTGTTTAAATTTCTGTTCCTTTCTGGTTATTGGTGTAGCGACAGCTTTATAGGTCGTATGTCTGTCTGTCTGTCTCACCCCACGACACACACACTCTCTCTCTCTCTCTCTCTCTCTCTCGTCAGCCTGCAGTAACATTTACTCTAACCTTGGCTTCTTCTTTGTGACTCTCACTCCCTCCTGACCCACTTCCTCCTGACTCACTTCCTTCGGACTCGCTCCCTTGTGACTCACACCCGTCTGACTCTTTCCCTTCTCATTCACTCCCGTCTGACTCTTTCCCTCCTGACTCTCTCCCTTCTGAATCTGATGACTCACTCCCTCTTCCTTCTGACTCACTCCCTTCTGACTCACTCCCTCTTCCTTCTGACTCACTCCCTTCTGACTCACTCCCTTCTGACTCACGGATGACATTTTCCAGGGTTTTCCCCCAAGTTTGTCTCTTGTGACCATCCTGACGTGACTCCCCTCCCGTCTTTACCTTACCTCGGCTGGCAGTACGGGGTGATCCAGAAGTCCCTGTGCACCTGCAATACTTAACACTATAGTTGTTCTTTGTTTTGTCTACATTATTATAAGAAAGAACATGGTAAAGAACAGTTGTGTTATATATTTTAAAGTAGGCTGATATGTAACAGTATTAGTTATTTATTTTGTTCTATTCATAACATTTCTGTATGACAAGGAACAATTATCTTTATTATTGGTGGTGCACAGGAACTTTTCGATCAGTCTTGTAAATTATTTTTTCTTCAGTATTTACAATAAGACGAGTTGAACATTATATTAGCTGTTCATCTCATCTCCCCCACCGTGGGTGACACACAGCATACAGTGCCAGGGTCGGGAGTGCCACCTACCTACTGAGTGGTTAATACATTCTAGTGCCACCGAAGACATTAATCTTCTATAACAACAACAAAATAACTGATAATATTAGGACCTTAACCTTTTGTTTGTAGTATTATTAACTAAGTCGGTTGTGTAAGGAAATGAGGTTAATTCTATAAATAATTTGTACGTTTGTGTATGTGTACAGTATATTGTTACATGAACTCTGGGTGTTTGTGTAAACGATAAACATCATTGAATTGGTGTGAGGAGTGTGTGGTCTACTGGTGTGTGAGGAGTGTGTGGTCTACTGGTGTGTGAGGAGTGTGTGGTCTACTGGTGTGTGAGAAGTGTGTGGTCTACTGGTGTGTGAGGAGTGTGTGGTCTACTGGTGTGTGGAGGAGTGTGTGGTCTACTGGTGTGTGAGGAGTGTGTGGTCTACTGGTGTGGGGAGTGTGTGTGGTCTACTGGTGTGGGAGTGTGTGTGAGAGTGTGTGGTCTACTGGGTGGGAGGAGGTGGAGGAGTGGGAGTGTGTGGTCTACTGGTGGAGGGAGGGCACTGGAGGAGGTGGTCTACTGTGTGTGGAGGAGGGTCTACTGGTGTGTGGAGGAGGTGTGGTCTACTGGTGTGGGAGAAGTGTGTCTACTGGTGTGTGAGGAGTGTGTGGTCTACTGGTGTGGGAGGAGTGTGTGGTCTACTGGTGGGAGGAGGTGTGAGGAGTGGCTGTACTGGTGTGTGAGGAGGTGGTCTACTGGTGTGTGAGGAGTGTGTGTGAGGAGGTGTGTGGTCTACTGGTGTGGAGGAGTGGGGTCTACTGGTGTGTGAGGAGTGTGTGGTCTACTGGTGTGTGAGGAGGTGTGGTCACTGGTGTGTGAGGAGTGTGGGTCACTGGTGGGGAGGAGTGTGTGAGGAGTGTGGTCTACTGGTGTGTGAGGAGGTGTGGTCACTGGTGTGGAGGAGTGTGGGGTGGCTCACTGGTGTGGGAGGAGGTGGAGGAGGTGTGGTCTACTGGTGTGTGGGAGGTGGTTCACTGGTGTGTGGGAGGAGTGTGTGGTCTACTGGTGTGTGAGGAGTGGTTCACTGGTGTGTGAGGAGTGTGTGGTCTACTTGTGGGAGAAGTGTGGTCTACTGGTGTGTGGGAGGAGGTGTGGTCTACTGGTGTGTGGAGGAGTGTGTGGTCTACTGGTGTGGGAGGAGGTGTGGTCACTGGTGGAGGAGGGGTGTGGTCTACTGGTGGTGGGAGGAGTGTGGTCTACTGGTGTGTGAGGAGTGTGTGTGGTCTATCTGTGGGAGGAGTGTGGTCTTGGTGTGAGGAGGTGTGGTCTACTGTGTGGGAGGAGTGTGGTCTACTGGGTGTGGGAGGAGTGTGGTCTACTGGGTGGGAGGAGGTGGATGAGTGTGGTCACTGGTGGGAGGAGGTGTGAGTGTGTGGTCTACTGGTGTGGGAGGAGGTGGAGGAGGTTCACTGTGTGTGAGGAGGGTCTACTGTGTGTGAGGAGTGTGAGGAGGTGGTCTACTGGTGTGTGAGGAGGTGTGTGAGTGTGTGGTCTACTGGTGGGAGGAGTGTGGTCACTGGTGTGTGAGGAGTGTGATGGGAGTGTGTGGTCTACTGGTGTGGGAGGAGGTGTGGGAGTGTGGTCTACTGGTGGGAGGAGGAGGGAGTGGTCTACTGGTGGGAGGAGGTGTGAGGAGGTGGTCTACTGGTGTGAGGAGAGGGTCTACTGGTGTGTGGAGAATGTAGGAGTGTGTGGTCTACTGGTGTGTGAGGAGTGTGGAGGGAGTGTGTGGTTCACTGGTGTGTGAGGAGGTATGAGGAGGCGTGAGGAGGTGTGGTCTACTGGTGTGTGGAGGTGTGGTCTACTGGTGTGTGAGGAGTGTGGTTCACTGGGTGTGTGAGGAGTGTGTGGTCTACTGGTGTGTGAGGAGTGTGTGGTTCACTGGTGTGAGGAGTGTGGTCTACTGTGTGTGAGGAGGTGTGGTCTACTGGTGTGTGAGGAGTGTGGTCTACAGGTGTGGGAGTGTGTGGTCTACTGGTGTGTGAGGAGGTGGTCTACTGGTGTGGAGGAGTGTGTGGAGGAGTGTGTGGTCTACTGGTGTGGAGGAGGTGAGGAGGTGTGGTCTGGTGGGAGGAGGTGTGATCTACTGGTGTGTTAGTTGTGGAGGTGCGACAACGCGTGGCTGGGTGGTCACCCCGCGGGACGGAGCTTCCTGCCCGCTGGTGGTAATATTGTGTCAGTGAGGCAACACACCTGTACTATACTGCCGCTGTCATCACCACACACCTGTACAACACTGCTGCCACATCACCACACACCTATACTATACTGCTGCTGTCATCACCACACACCTGTACAACACTACCACTGTCATCACCACACACCTGTACTATACTGTTGCTTCCATCAACACACACCTGTACAACACTGCTGTCATCACCGCACACCTGTACAACACTGCCGCTGTCATCACCACACCTGTACAACATTGCCATCACCACACCTGTACACCACTGCTGTCATCACCACACCTGTACAACATTACCGCTGTCATCACCACACCTGTACAACATTGCCGCTGTCATTACCACACCTGTACAACATTACCGCTGTCATCACCACACCAACATTACCGCTGTCATCACCACACCTGTACAACATTGCCGCTGTCATCACCACACACCTGTACAACATTACCGCTGTCATCACCACACTGTACAACATTGCCGCTGTCATCACCACACACCATAACAACACTGGTAGTAACTTGCCTCCTGGCGGCTACACTGACGTAGATCTTGAAGTAGAACACAACTCTTACGTACGTAAACAAAGTAATGAGTGGACGCCAGCACAGTGAGTAACGGTAATGAGTGAACGCCAGCACAGTGAGTGACGGTAAGTTGTAGTAAGACTTAATACACCAGTCAACAATCACTGTCTTAGCTTTATGTGTTAGTAAATGTTTAAGTCAATGTTGTGTTTGTCTGTTTATTTTATTATATGTAGCTATATGTCCGATAATGTAGTACCAGCTATACCACTTGCCAGGCATACATACATACCTGTCCATACATATACACCCGCACAAAGATAAATATAGTTCATAGTTTAGGTAGGTGAATATAAGCAAATATATGTAACTACCTGCATAGATCAGTAATATATATATAAAGTGTCATAAATACATTGACTATTTTTTCCAGAGTATCTTTAGACTATACGAGGAGTTTGTGTGGGTGGTAGGTTGAGGTGCCTGGTACACTAGTGCCTGGTACACTGGTGCCTGGTACACTAGTGCCTGGTACACTACAGAGCGTCACCTGCTACAACTGAGTGTCGATTTTCCTTTAGGATTATATAAATAGCTGGAGAATGGTTTCCTACACGAGCGTGCGTCGCGGCCAAGAGTACCACCAGCACCTGGCCATCCACCCCGTCAGGGTCCGTCTACCTCTACCTATACTAAACTTGCCGCCTCTCTTGCCACTCTTGTTTGCTGTCTTGCGCTTCACTTTTAACAACTTGATGCTGCGTAGAAGTTGTCTGCCTAGATACAGCCACCCATACAGTGCAGTCCTTGTCTTGTACCATGAATATGCAGCGAAGACGAGGCATAATGAAAATGCTGTTATTTTTCTTTATTTTTCTTCTTCCTGTTGTTGTTGTCTTCATCTACTGTCATCTGGCACTAAATGACTCGCAGAATGAGTCATGTGAGACGAGGACGGGGAGATCCCTGAGTCGCCAGCACCGCGCTAGTCGTTAGTCACTCACCTGTGTAACTCTGCTCCTTCCTTCC